TACTAGGTATTTATCCAAGGGATACAGGTATGCTGTTTCGAAGGGACACATGCACCCCAATGTTTATAGCAGCACTATCAACATTAGCCAAGTATGGAAAGAGCCCAAATGTCCATTGATGGATGAATAAAGTTGTGATATGTGTGTGTGTGTGTGTGTGTGTGTGTGTGTGTGTGTGTATACATACACGATGGAAACCCATTCGTTTTTATGAGTTAATTTATACACTGACCTCATGATTACTATTTCAAGATAAGTCTGCTTTTTTACCTTAGGTATTAATGAATATAAAACTCTATTTCATAAATATTATATTTTTAAATGTTATGATTTGAACCCTAAGGAATATTGTTAGAGTAGGAAATAGGAATAAAGTACATGCCCCCCACACACACACAGATTAAAAAAAACGAAAAACATGCAGAAGCTTATTCAGGAAAGTTTCACTAACGCAATTCAAAATCAGACCATAGGACTCAGCATGTACGATCAACGATGTGGTGTATAGTGCTGAGAGAATCAGAGTTATCCTTTGCACCATTTGTAGTTTTGAAACTTTAGGCTGGAAGTTCCTCAAAACTGGTAGGAAACAATGAATGAAACTGTTGTTTCTATTTACTTAAAGACAAGGAATAATTTTGAAAGTACTCGACAAGAAGTAGAGCGGTTGATGCAAAGAATGAAATCTGCCAACCAAGATTACAGACCACCCAGCCAGTGGACAATGGAAGGCTATCTTTATGTCCAGGAGAAACGTGAGTCACAAAGATGTAACTTAATGTCTCTTATAATTAACATTCTGTTTCTGTGAGATTTGACTTGGTTAGTGTTTTTTCCTTCAAATAGGGAGACTACAGTTCCTTACAGCTTTATCATATTTAGTCTGCTCTCCCACTACCACCATCAAAGTGAGGAAGTTTTTCCACATTTCGCCATCAGGATCTCCAAGTTGGCATATTATTGAACTTGGAACTTACAACCTTCACTGATGGTACGGTAACATGAGTTCAGTTTTAGAGTTTCATTGTGATAGCTAATCTCAATTTAAAGTTTGATGAAAAATTGAAATTCAAAGCCTTTATCAGTATGAATCATCCTGGTGACTATAATACTTTTATTTTCCCACAGCGTTATTTCATTTAATTGTGCTCCATCAGTTTTTAGGAGTAAAATTGGCAATCATGTAATGTCAAATTGGCACTCTTTACTTCCTGAGGTTAGGAAATAAGCATCAGACACAACAGGACATTATTATAATTGCCTCACACTAAGAAAGTTTTTCTCACAAAAATTAATAAAAACCCATCCAAACTTGTATAACTAGGGCTCTTTCTGCATGGTGCTTGCATTGAATGGAACAAGTTGGACCAAATTAAATGTTTCAAACCAGATATACCCTAATGCACCAATCTCCTACTGTTTGTGGTAAAGGAACAGTTGTCTTTATTTCCAATCCATTATGGATCTGTCCATAAAACACAAAGTCATGTGCTTGAATTTTGCAGTAATGCCAAATCACTGTACAAGTTTTGAAACGCTTATTTTTATTTTCTGTACTATTGTCATATATTGAGACTCAAAAACTACATAGAGTAGCACTACTCTGAAGTCTCCATATCAGTAGATGATAGATTAATGAAGTTGTTTTGGTTAGTTAGTAAGATGTTACAGTTAAAAGGTTTGAGATGGGAAAGCTGGAGATTCTGGGTTGGCTGTGAAAGTTTTTGACATAATGCAATATGATTACTAAAATGCCAGCACACTTTATGTTTGACATTCTCACTCAGGTGATGCTCATTTGTTGGATAGCAGTGTACAAGCAAATAATGATTAGTTCTAACAAACAAACTCAGCAAATATCTGTTACTGTACGGGTTAGATGATAGAGTGCTGCTGGCTCAGGAGATCTGGATTTGAGGATTTTCTCTTTCATCACGATCGACTTTGACCAGTGTGCTATCTTTGAATGTCAAAATAAATCTAATGACCTGCCTAGCTATTCTGTAATTAGACCATAATACATTGCTTTCACCATAATTTCATGAAAAAAAAACTAATTCATTTGTCATATACAAGGTATATGGATTTAACTCAGGACACTAAAGAAATTTTTGAATACTTGTTTTGAATAACTTCTTCAGATTTGAAAACCTCAGTGTGAGGGTACATTGAGCTTACATTTTGCATCAATAAAATATTTTGCTGAGCAGAAAAATGTATTGATAGAGAGGCTTGTTCAAACGTGTGTAGTAGAGGAGGTGCCATCCTCTTGCTTAAAGATTTTTTTTTATTCATTACAATTCAATAATGTTTTATGGCTTGACTTTTTTCTTTTTTGTTTTTATTCCCCAGTGTTGCACAGTTGCTAAAATCCTTATGGGTACACAATATTTTGTTCTAAGAAAAGAAAGATGGATTACCTAGCTAAATTATTTTGTACATTAATTTTCAAATACATCATGTTTATTTGCTACTTGCTAGTCCATCTCTTGGGCAAGGGTGTAGTTTACTTGTTCTCCATTTGTTGGACATTTCAGTCTGACTATAAGCATAGGCCCTTGAGTAACTTGGAGACTGCATCGGTGGACAAAATTCAGTATTTTGTGCACCCATCTGATGTTGGTATCTTGTGTTTTAAGATACATGACTTCCCCTCTGGGTCAGTCCTAGATGATTATAAAGCCCTTTTTGATATTGATGTTTCCCCTGAAATATGCTATCTCTTTAAATGATATCACCCACCTTCTTAGGCTGGAAACTGGAAATAAATACTTAACTCCTTAACTCCATTGTCTCCCTGTAACTTGGGGCCCACTCTTTGCATTTTATCTCCTTGGTAACCTTTGAACCCACACCTTCTCATCTCCACAGTCTTACAGTGGCCTCATAATTGTTCTCTTTCTGCCGCTAGGTTTGCCTGTCTATAATCCATCCTCTGTGGCACTTCCAGCACACCCCTCTACAATGCTAGCTTGTTGTGCTCATCCTGTGATGGCCCCTTAGTGGTGTGTGGCCTTTGAGACTTGCACATTTGGACTCTCTCACTTTCTTTCTTTAGCATGCTCTCCTTTCATGTTGCCTTCCTGCTCCTAAGAAAATTTCCTCTCGGTGTTCTCCATATCCACCTGCATTGTTTTTACAGCTTTAGTGAGGTACAGTTGGCATACAATGAATTGCAGATATTTAAAATGTATAATTTGATAAGTTTTGCCATATATATATATATATATATATATATATATATATATGCACCTGTGAAACTATGACCACTGACAACAATGAACATATTCATCAACTTCAAAAGTGCTCTCATGCCCCAATATAATCCCTCCCTTCTTTCTTTTCGTATTCACCATCTCCTCACTTCCCATTGCCTGGGGATTTTAAAAGAAAAATGAATGGATTTATATCCCTTTGGAATTATTTTTGTTTAATTTATTTTAAGAGAGAGTGCACATGCATGCTCACGAGCGGGGGAGGGGCAGAGAGAGAGGGAGACAATCCCAAACAGGCTACGAACTGTCAGCCCAGAGCTGGACGCAGGGCTCTAATTCACAAACTATGAGATTATAACCTGAGCCAAAGTCAAGAGTCAGACAGTTAACCTACTGACCACCCAGGCACCCATGGAATTATTTTTATACAGGGGACAAATATCCATAGCCCCTTTCCACTTTGTATATTTGAAAACATTTATAAGAAAATCAAACCAGTTCACATATTGATTGTACTGTTGCTGTATACTGAATGAATAAGTTCTGTGGGGAATAGAAGATGAGATAAAAAATTTGGCTTCAGGGTCTTTATTCTGTAGTGGAAGGCATAAGACACACTCATGCAATTAGAAACCAGTGATCATAAATATGAAAGCTGTAAATTGAGTGATAAATGGAGATGGATGTGATGGGGTAGTAGTAGGAGATCATTGCAGTTTGAACACAGAACCTCACTTTATCTAGATCTGTGGTTTTTATGTTACCCACTTCTGGGCATACATTAAATTGCATTCTAATGGATTTCATTTTAAACAGGAAGAGCATGGGTTCCTAAGTCAGAACTATGTTGAAATTCCATGCTTGCCACCTGTTAACTAGATGATACTTGAACAAACAATTTTCTGAGCTCAGTATTCTAATTTATAAAAGAAAAATACTCATACCCATCCAATAATGATGTTGCAAGAATAGAGATAATATATATAAAATGTCTCTATTATTAGTATTGGTGGATAATATTTACCATGAACATTTACTATTTTGTGCAATTTAGATTTATCTCATTAGATTCTTAAAACAACTATTGAGAAGTATTATTCTGCTAAAAATAACAATTCAATCACATGCCCTATTGATGGAGAAAGTAGCGCCATCTCCAGCTCCTAAGCTATATTTTTTTATATGTAAAATCCTCTTTATAATGTCTGACTTAACCTGCCTCTTCAGTGCAGTAGGTAGTGTGCATCAGTCTTATATAATGTCTGACTTTAGAAGTTTCTAGATAAAATGTTGGCGCTTGGTAGGTATTTAGTGAATGTTATTTTCTCTCATTCCACAAACATCATCTGAGCAACCTCAGATGATTAGTGGGTAAGATAATTAAGCTTGTTTTATTTTGCAACAGTAGAGATAAAATAAATTTTTATTTTCCCACACTTTTTTTAAAGGACTTCAGAATTTCTTGTCTAAGAACATCTGCTCTGCTCTGGCCTAGTGCCAAGCAACTTTAAAGGAAGTAGCATGTGTGTACAACAAACTTGAAGATTAAATACACAAGGTTCTATACTTCAGATGGAGGCAGGAAAAAACAATTTAGGTATAAAATGTCATCAGAGCATTACAGTAGTTTTATTTAAAAATTATTGCTAATATTGCTTCATAAATTGCTTCTTAATTAATAAAGTCACTATAAGTATTTTCATCCAGCCACTTCCACTAATCAGCTCTAAGCCTTTAAGTATTTTATACTGCATGTAACAGAATTATCAACAAGTATGCTTAAGTATTGTAGCGTGAAATGGCCCTAAAACAGAATTGAAGTTTATTACAATAATCCTTTATGATTAAAAAAGTATATAGCTATACCCTATAATTTTAACTCTGGAGTTGTTTAAGTATTTTAAAGCTAAATATGACACCAAGGGCACTGTTATTATAGAAAAAAAATTCAAATGGCTCATGAAACACTTTTATCAAGTGGTACATTGTTACATTACAATTTCTCACTTTTAAATATATGGTTATGAAACTAAGCCAGCAATAATATTGTACATAATTGTTGCTAGAAAGATCCAGGTGTTAAGCAGGATGGGAGCCTAGATGGAGAAGTTGTAGAGAAAACGGACTCCATTTTCAACCCAATTAGCCCACTCTGGCTTTTGAATACAGGATAATTGGCTTCTCTGTGGGAAAACTGAAGGTCTTCTACCTTAGTCATGGAAAAATTAAATCACCGTGCATCCCTATTCCTGGTGAAGCAGCAGCATCTAATTCCTTAAGGAGAATATAGGAGAATAATGTGGTATGCTATGGGAAAGAGTTGCACAGTATTTATAGGGGTAAAAATGAGCACTATACATATATAGCTTTCTTTTAAATGAAAATTAAAAGTTATTTTTACTTTAAGGAGTTGAGTTCACTTTTTTCGGATTAGTGGTAAGAGGAAATAACTCCAAGTTCAATGAGGTCTTAGAAAGATGAATGATTAATTCCTTCATTCATTTGTCAAGTATTTATTGAGAGACAGCTAATGTCTGGGCCTGTTCTAAGGATTAAGAATATACTAGTAAGGGGCGCCTGGGTGGCTCAGTTGGTTGAACATCTGATTCTTTATTGTGGGGTTGTGGGATCGAGCCCCACATCAGGCTTGGTGCTGAGTGTGGAGTCTGCTTGGGATTTTCTCTCCCTCTCTCTCTCTCTTTCTTTCTGATTCTTTATTTCAAGGTTGTGGGATCCAGCCCCGCATCAGGCTTGGTGCTGAGTGTGGAGTCTGCTTGGGATTCTCTCTCTCTGTCTCTCTCTCTCTCTCTCTCTCTCTCCTTGCCCCTCTCCCCCACTCACATGTGCACTCTTTGTCTCTGTCTCTGTCTCTCTCTCTCAA